TGTGTGTGTGTGTGTGTGTGTGTGTGCGCGCGCGCTGCGCAGGAATGCTATAACGTCTGGGAATACTCTGCTCTGAGCTGCAGAGAGAGAGAGAGGGAGATAGACTCAATAATCTGCAACAACCTGACCAGTTTGTCCCAGGAGTGAGGAGCTGGACAAATTCACTTAGTCACTTTTATTAAACGCTTACAGGAAGAAAACTATTATTGGCTAAGGGAATTGGCTGTTAGGGAACCACTACAAAGCAAAACGTGCTTGATACAGCCTCCAACAATGATCTGGATTCAGCATCTTGAAAGCTGTCCGTATAACTTCAGTACTTTGTCTTTCCTGCCCACAGAGAGTAGAGCTGTGAAGAATCAGCTGCAAGTGTCCCTGTTATCCTTCGTTTCCCCTCTCTTCCCCCATCCCTGCTCCTTTGGGGCAGTGTAACAGTATTAGCTTAAGGCTGGGGCCCAAATAGGCAGGCAGTCCTGGTTACGTATATGAGGGATGAGCTTGGCTCCTGCGCTCCTGGCAGCTTCACAGCTGTGGTGCTCTTCTACATATATGGGGCAGCTGCGGGCCCAGCTGTCGCACGGTGTGAATCACACGACAGCAGCGCTGGAAATAGAGACAGCCCAGTAATCTTAGCCCCTGCACCGGCTTCACGTTACTCCCCCTGCCTTCCCGGTCCTCCTCGATGCTCGGCGCTCGCTGCAGCACCGACCAGGCCGAGTGCCCACAGACACACWCASACACACACACAYACAGGTTTGTTCCTTTTACGGACACCTCGGTTCATCTGTTTTCCAGGACCGTCTCTCTCAGCCGCTGGACTTTTGTGTCCGTATCTAATTCTGTTAATCCGCCCTCATCTTTTCACCCAAGTGTCTATTCTTGGGTCTGAGTTTTTCTAGCAGAAAGTGTACGAGAACAGACTGTTCTCGTTGTCTTGATTTAACCTTCAACATCCGCCTGGTGAGGTAGAATCCAGTACACGTCCCCAGACACCTTGGAACAACTCTGCTCAGCAGCACATTAGTCACGCAACAGGTTGCGCTCTCCACCAAACACAGCAGTGGAGGAGTTTGTCTCATTAAGAAGTGTGAAGAAATGTCAYCTTATTGAAAGTGTTAAATATCGGCCTTTCTGTGACTCGGGCAGTGTTAATCGAGCCGCTTTATTTTCTGGTCGCTGCACGTTCGTTTATGTAAGTGACCCATACCTTTTCTGTTTGTTGATCTGTGTGCGTTTGTGTTTGTGTAGAAGGCCCTGTGGCAATTAAATATGCAAGGCTCTAGGGGAAACCCTATCCTTACTCCTAATGTGAGATGTGAGTCAATGCTGGGGAGGGAGGAGAGCTGGAGATGTTGTTGGAGGCTGGTTGTGATGTCCGAACACGGTTTTATTAGCTRAATGCAGAAGTGGAACATCAGTTTGTAAAACTAAACAAAATAAAGGAATCATAAAACAACGAGAGACACTGCGTTTCCAGCGTGCACATGGAGAGAGAATACTTACCACTGAATATTTTAGCTGAAAGAAGCTAAAATACTTTTAAACTAAACCGAACTATTAATGCTTGAATGAATTTAACAGTGATTCCTGAAATTTGCTGAAAACCCTAACTGTGAAAACAAAAGCTTCATGGGACAGGATAACTGAAAAGTGCAGAATTATGCCAATAAAAAGTAAAAAGGAGTAGAAATATAGCTGAAAGAGACAGAAAGAAAGGGAAATGAAGAAGAGAAAAGTTTAAATTAGCAGAAGAATATCAGAAAAGGCCAGAATATCAGCTAAAACAGCTGAAAACGGATAAAATCAGCCAAATGGAAGCTGAAGGAATTTGAAATTAGCATAAAAAGTAAAAAAAAAAAAGCAGACAAGAACAAAATGAGAAAAGTAAGGTAAAGATTCGTGAACATTTGAAGGGTTTTAAGATGATGATAATGGCTTTGCAATGAAGATAAAAATGGCCAAAAAAATTGCTGAAGTATCAAAAGTCGTAGCTGAAATGCCCTGAAGAAAMTGAGCGTTTTGATGTATAAATTGTTGAAATGGCTCAAATTGTGGCAAAAATTACGTGTTGAAAAAAACAAAAACAGAAGAAAAAAGCTCTTAATTGTGTGAATATTTTAAAAGCATTCGCACAATAAACACAAGTCCAGTAGCTTTACAAACACATTTACATCCATCTCCACGTCTTCAGGTCCTGGAAGACAATGACTACGGCCGTGCTGTGGACTGGTGGGGTCTCGGGGTGGTGATGTACGAGATGATGTGCGGCAGGCTGCCCTTCTACAACCAGGACCACGAGAAGCTGTTCGAGCTCATCCTCATGGAGGACATCCGCTTCCCCCGGACCCTGGGCCCCGAGGCTCGGTCCCTGCTCTCCGGTCTTCTGAAGAAAGACCCGATGCAAAGGTTAGAACCTCTGCTGCCTTTTCTTGCCGTCAAACACAAAGAAGCCTTTTTTAGTAGAMGCTCTTCCTCACTCAGCGTTGAACCTGTTTGATTGTGTTTCCAGGTTAGGTGGAGGACCTGATGATGCAAAGGAAATCATGCAGCACAAGTTTTTTGCTGGGATTAATTGGCAAGATGTTTATGAAAAGAAGGTGGGTTTCTCAAATTGTTCTTCCTTTTTATCTTTTCTTTTCTTTCAAGAACCTGCGCTGCTGCTGTTTCCCTCTGGGATCAGTAAAACTGACTTGAAGCAGCATCATCTAGAAACTGTACTGGTCCACAGAAAGGCCTCTATGAGCGCACAGTCTGCGATGTGCTGATATAATTGTCTTCTCCAACAGCTGGTCCCGCCGTTTAAACCCCAAGTTACCTCAGAGACGGACACACGATATTTTGACACGGAGTTCACAGGACAAACCATCACCATCACGCCACCCGGACAAGGTAGCGTCAAACTCACAGCTGTCGAGCCTTCTCAGCACTCCTGCTTAAATATGTTTTTATTTACCTTTTCTCAAGATCAGAGCTGGAAAACATTAGAGTTTGCTTTAGTTAAAGTGCTATCACTTACCTTTAAATGTGTTTGAAGAAACTCTACTTCCAACATATTCAGTTCGTCATAAATCTGTCCTCTTTTTGGCTCATTTTATTCTTCATCCAAGGGCTGAGAATTGAGTTCGTGATATTCAGCTCATTAAATGCAAGTGGAGGCTTTACCCAGCTCCCTTGAGAGTAGTGTGCCCTCTTCTGGACATTCAGTGTTATTAAAACGGAGCGTTCTACCCTAGAAAAATCAATAAAAAGGACAGGCGGTGAGCTAATGTCATAATTATGTGATAAATAAAATATATACATAAATAAGAAACATGGAATACARCTTTAACATTCTTTATAAAAAAAAACTAAAAGTTGTAATTTGACTTAATTTTTTCAGAATGATTTCCAAGTAGACGGGTTTGTTATGAGTCATTGAGTATCAGTCTTTTATTTCTAATATCTTTTAAGGTGCAAATAATCAAGGAAAGAGTTTTTTTTTTTTTTGTTAGCCTGAAACAGGTGAGTGTCATGATAGAAAGGGAGCAGTCATTCATGAGCAAGGATGGAGTGAGGTTCACCACTTTGTGACAGCCCAACGTTTGTCAACTGCAAGGAATTTAGKGATTTCATCATCTCCAGTCCATAACATCAAAAGATTCTGATTATCTGGACCTATTTTTGTGAAATATTAATCAAATTTTGGGATGCACGATATATCGGCATTAATATCGGTATTGGATGATATTGGTCGTTTTTTAAGAATATCGTATTGGTCTGATGTGTAGAACTGGGCCGATACTAATGTCCGATATTGATTTCCCACATTTTAGCTTTGTGTTTCTGTTTTGGAAGAGGAGCTGGTTGGTTGAGCAGCATCTGTTTGATCATGATAGTGATGTTGACGCTGCATAGCCAGGAATAACTGAAGCAGAGCCATGTCAGACCTTATCAAAAAAAGATCCAAGTGTGTTTATGCATACATGTATGATATAATTTGTGTGTAATAATCAAGGAAAGAGTATTTTTGTTAGCCTGAGGAAGTTTTTTTATTAGTATTCAGAGTAAATTGTCATATGATCAACTTATGTCTTACACTTATCAGTTCTTTTATTAATTTTAGTTTTTCCCCTTCATTCCTAGATGACAGTATGGAGTTTTTTGACAGCGAGCGACGACCCCACTTCCCCCAGTTCTCCTACTCTGCCAGTGGGACAGCCTAAAACGACTCAAACATTCCTCCATTCCCACCCCGACCC